ATTCTCGTAAATCACAGGGGTTCTCGTTTGAACCCTTCCCTATATATATATATATATATATATATATATATATATATATATATATATAGTGTATATATAAGAGAGAGAGTGAAAGAGAGATGATTATTGAATTTACAACAAGGATTGACTAGAAATATAAATACATACATCCATATCTCTATGCATCAGATGAAATCCAGTCATCTTCAATCACGGAGCGATGGAAGCAGCACATTGCAAGACTCCAATTCCCCCAAGGTACGCTTACAAGTATGGCAACAGTACGGAAGCTGTCCCAATGGAACAATCCCAATACGAAGACCATCAAACATGAATCATCCATCCAACACTAAGATCATAATCAACCCTAAACACTCGGTACGTACATTTCCCATCCACCTTCTCAATTCTACATTTCATATATACATACATATATGCATCCATTAACCCTAACCTGTATCTATATACAGTACTCAGTTGTGCTAACTGAAGGATTCAGTTACTCAGGAGCTAAAGCAAACATCAAAGTATGGAACCCATACGTGGAATCCATCTATGACTGGAGTAGTTCTCAAGTTATGCTCAGGAATGGCCCCATGCTTACCTTCGACACAGCACAAGCTGGATGGGCAGTTAGTATTACTATACATTCATCACCTTGATGTCTTAATTAGGGTTTTTCAGATGATAACTTGTTTATATGATTTTAGGTAAACCCGAGTCTTTACCGTGATAATAAAACGCGCTTATTCGCATATTGGACGGTAATTAAGTCGTTAAACACTGATTACATTGAATTATTCGTGTTCATATCGTATGTTATATAAAACTTGTGTCCATGTTAATTGCACAGGTTGATGGTATGCAAAACACAGGCTGTTTCGATCTCACTTGTCCTGGATTCGTTCAAACGTCGCATGAGATCGTTCTTGGCGGGGATATTAGTTCACATTATGGATCTGAAATCACAATTCAAATCTCCAAGGTTTGTAAGACATCATTTCTCATTGTCATCCAAGAAATCTTTTGGACTTTAATCGTTGTTGGTTGGATTCTTGTATATATGTATGTAGGATCCATGGACACTTAACTGGTGGTTGAAATACAACGCTAAGGAAGTGGGGTATTGGCCTGGTGAGATTTTTGTGATACTGAGACATCAAGCAAACTTGGTTCAATGGGGAGGTGAAGTGTATAGCCCCAAGGTTGGAACCCATCCCCACACATCAACAGGCATGGGCAGTGGGAGGTTTTCCGATTTCATATTTCGTACATCAGGGACGATGACGGGGATGTTGATCGAAGAGAATTCGCATGAGTTAAAGCAACCAGAAACGCTTTTTGTTAGCTCTGATGAGTGGGACTGTTATGACGCGTATCTCTTGAAATCAGGTGTCCCCGAACCCGTGTTCTTTTACGGAGGTCCGGGTAGTCGTCGAAATCGAAGGTGCCCATGAATGGTACATAGTTGTAATGTAATTTTATGATTTAGTTTGTTATCTTTATTCAGTTTCGGTTTCAGTTTCTCTTTAATAAATAAAGATTATTCATTTTGTGTGTCATCAGGGTCGGTTCAACGGTTTTGGATGTCGTGGGCAAGAGCCAAAAAAATGTCCATACTCCAATGAACCAAGAACACACAAAATTTTAAGGGGTTTGAAACCTGGTCAAGCTAGGCGGCTCATCCTCACGCCGATTATTATTGGAAAAAAAAAATTATGACAGTGGGACATAAACCAAAACTCCAAACAACAAAACAAAGATAAGATAACCTAAAATGGTGTCTTCGTGAAACAAAATTTTCAAGTAATCTATCATAGTCAGCTTTTACTAAAAACTTACTTTCGATTCTTAAAATTACTAACACGTTAAGCCTATCTTGACTCAGGGTAGTCCAGAAATGTGACTTCAGTAGCTTTAATTTTGAAAAACTTCTTTCGGTTGATGCTACTGTATGCACTACAACAAAATCGGGTTTATAGGACACTCTCAAATTCTAAATGTCCTAATATGCTTCTTTATAGGACTTAGTTTATAGGACCAAAAAAATAATGTGTCATATCTAAAGGTGTTGTAATTAGTTTATATGACATTTTTTGACGTCGTAATAATTTTTTAGGACACTTTTAATATAAAACATCTCATTATCAACATTATAGGACACTTTGAAAAACTATCCTATAAAAACAAATGTGCTATAAAAAATTGAGTTTATAGGACATTTTCTCAAAAGTGTCCTATAAAGTTGCTAATGCGACACTTTGTATTAAAAATGTCCTAAAAAACTTGTTAAGACGCCCAAAAGCGTCATATAAACTTATTACAACACATTTAGATATGACTCTTTATATTTTGGTCCTATAAATTAAGGCTTATAAAATGGTCTATTGAGACGCTTAGAGATTAGGGGTGTCCTATAAACCCAATTTTGTTGTAGTAATGTGACTGATATAGTTAACAAAATCTTGTGGGAACATATCCACCTTCTACACAAACTCCATAACTTGAATAGACGTCCAAGGCTTTCTTCCCCGTATGATTCATATTGTATCATGCCCTGCAAAATCTATAACTCCATATTAAAGATATTTCCCATCAATATCAATATCATCACCACGTGTCAAAGCAACCTCAAGATTCAAACAACATTTCTTTAATTCGTCAACTTTCAATGTAACCAACTTTGATGCATCAAACAAGAACCCAAACATAGACTCAAATGTTTCATCTGTTCAAATCTAATTCTTAACTGAAAAAGTGTCATATCGACTAATTAAACTAGAAAGTAATCCGTTCTAAATGATTCTTGGACAGATTGTTATTCTCTTTCACTATTTGGGATCTCATCAAATTGGTTTTGTTTTACAAACATAATGTTTTATAGGAAATTCGGGTTCAACTCCAATGTTTGCTACAATTTCTTTAGCTTCAGTGATAGCTAAATCAAACCCATTGTTTGTGTACTTTTCAAAATAAACAACTAATACTTCCAAGTTTTTTTTTTACCGCAATATCTAAAAGCATGTCTTTTAACTGTAACTTTTTTACTAACCAAATTGATTATATATAGATCTTATATGCCAAATAACCAAACTTAAAATAAATTCAAAACTTGAAAGCTCACCATTTATCAAAGATTCAACATCTCTACACACTTTTCCATCTTCATATACATTGACTAATTTTACCTAAACAATTTTTTATTTAACTTAGTTGAGTTTTTATTGCTGTAACACTTTCAACCTGGTTTTCCAGTGAGTAGCAGCACATGAAGACTTCAAGCCAAATCATCAAGATGTTCAAGTAAAAAACTCCAACGCTTTGTAAAATTAGAGAATACAACATAAATTGTTTGATATGTACCCAAAAAAAAAATTTGCTTTATGACAAGAGTTTGTCATATCACAAAAAACTAAATTAAGACAATGACATCCACATGGTATATAAAAGGCTCTAAGGTTTATATCTAATAACCTTTTTTTGAACACCTTAATGTTTTCCGTTCTTATTAGTCACATTATCATACCCTTGTCCTCGTACATAATTAATAAGGTTTTCAAAACATCTTGTAGCACATCAAAAAGACCCTTACCAGACTTATATTCTACTACAAAAAAAAACTCCAACAAGAAGTCTTCTACTTTGATAGGAACACTTGATACATCTACACATCTTATAATCAGAGTCATATGTTCTGTATGACTTGTATCAAGAGTGCAATCAAGAATGATTGAGAAATACTTTTGACTCCTTGATGTTTGCAATAATTGCACTTTTCACATTGAATGCCAACATTTCAATCAACTCATTCTGAATTTTATAACGAAGATAATGATAATGAGTTTCTTTTTTCTTAAATTAAATGAAAATGGTGTTGCATGACAGAGTCAAACTCACTATTCATTTGAAAAATGCCTAAAAGGTTACCATTTGACTTAAAGTTTTTTATTTGTCCACAAAAAGCCAAATTATATTCTACCAAACATTTCACAACAACAATTATTCGAATCAAAATTTGTTTTCAATGAGTGGTATCTTTCTTGATTAACTCTTGCAAGTCTTGTCAATTATTTGATTCTTATCCAACCTCATTTTTAACTTAGACCATGCTTTTAAATTAATCCAAAGTTCAGAATTATTTTCACATAACGATAATGTATGACTAAGATATTTCAATCATTGAGTCCATCACTTGCTAATTGACTTTTTGATTGAGCTCTTTTAAATAATTTACAACAAAACCAAAAAACATAAAGGAAGTAAACCTTAATGAATGATGACAGTAACTTGCCAAAATTAACTCACATAATAAATACACTTTAATCACAATCACAAATATAATAAGGTATTTAAGTGCAAACATGCACCTTTAAATTCACAAATACATTGGTCAAATTTAATTTAAATTTACCTGCATGTCATTCTTTCCACCCATTATATTTCACAACCACGGGTTCTAAACACAATTGGGACATCTTACTTTTAAGATGAAGCCACCTAGTTTAAGTCTAGCTATAAATCTGAATTCTTAAATCTCTTAAACTCATGCTCTGATACTAACTGTAACAAACCGCATTTTCATATAACAAATAAACATTGAATTTATACAAATAACCACATTGAGGATACACATTGGGTCATAAACTACAAATTATACATTTGCCTGAGTCTACTACAAAATTTGCTAACAATATCATCATATCCAAAGATATAACATCATAATATAAAGATCAAAAGTAGACTAAAAACACATCGACATGCTTCACATATGAAACCGCAATTAAAATCTTCTCACATTTTTCCCTTTACCTTCTAAAAGTTGTTGCCCGGAAAATGCATATTTTTAAAACAAAATGAGGGATATACCATACGGTTTAGTGAGGAAATCTCTGTCAATGCAACATTCTACAAAACCATTTCATATAACCCTTTCAAAATATTCAACATGTGATAAACTTTTCAAATATATTCAACCATAATAAGATTAATATGGTTCAACATCTCTACCAAATACATGTTGGCCCAACTGGCTCAACACCACCACTACATATACCTATTAGTTACACACTCGTTGGCCTAATTGGCTCAATACCAGTTACACACTAGTTGGCCCAACTGACTCAACACCACCACCACATACACCTCTCTGTTACACACTTGTTGGCCCAACTAGCTCAATACCACCCCCACATACACCTCTATGTTGCACATTCGTTGGCCCAACTAGCTCAATACCACCCCCACATACACCTCTATGTTGCACATTCGTTGGTCCAACTGGCTCAACACCACCACTGTTAGTTATAACGATATTGTAACACTTTATACCATAACTATGTAACCATATCAAATAACACATCCTTCCATAAGGAAATCATTTAACAGAATATTCATTTCCGTTCAAAAGTTCATGATAGATGTCACATGTGTTAATTTCCAACATGTATTTAAACACCATATTACAGTTAACGGTAATAATCCAACCATACGAAATCGGCATAATATCAAAATAATTTAATAATATATGCATTTCAGTTCGAAAAATGGTTACAAGAAAACTCACATGTGCTATAAGAAAACTCACCTCGACCATGATAAATGAAGATTTAAACTTTAACAAATACAAAAGATCGAAACTGAACCCGAATCCAAAACCGAACACACTACTAAAAAAAAGGGCATCACCGACGGATTTTTCTGGCGGAAATTCCGTCGGAAATATTACCGACGGATTACCGACGGATTTCCGACGGATACCAAAAAAGTCAAAAAAAGTCAACTTTTATCCATATCCGCCAAAAATCCCCCACAAATCCCCCACTGAATTTATCGGAAAAAAATTAAAATTATTTAAAACGGTTTTTCAACGGATTTGTGACGGATTTTTTTACTTATTCTAAACCGTCACAAATCCGTCGGAAATCCGTCGCAAAATTTGTCTAATTTATTTAAATCAACTAATTAGAGTTAATTAAAAACAATTTCCGACGGATTTCCGACGGAATTTTAATTTTTTTTTAAAAAAAAATTCCGTCGGAAATCCATCGGAAATATTTAAAAATGTTTTATTTTTATATTTCTTTTTAAATTAGAGTTAAGGAAAAATAAAATAAAAAACACATTTTTTAAAATTTCCGACGGATTTCCGACGGAATTTTAATTTTTAAAAAAAAAAAAAATTCCGTCGGAAATCCGTCGGAAATATTTAAAAATGTTTTATTTTTATATTTCTAGAAGTAAACGAGTTATAAATAGCCATTTTGTTCTTATCCATGGCATTGATCATTGTTCACATTAGGCTGTGCAAAATCTAACTGTAATGTTGTATAGCTTTTCATAAGATGTTCATTACTGAGTTTCCTTTACCAGAACATGGATGAAGCGCACTGCAGCCCTGGTCTGCATGCTGCGGCAGGGCCTGGTCTTGCAGAAGAATGTGCAACACTGGTAACTTACCTTGCACTTAATACTTTTTTATGTAATAGAAAGGACATGTTTTTGTATAACATGTGTCTATAGACTTTACAAGTATCAGAAGAAGACGTAAAAGAATGCAAACTAATCTGATATAACCTTTGACTTTCACAGGGTGGCTRCAGAACAGGAATGRCGAAAGTTACCAATGCATATGATCTACCAGCAAGGTAGGCATTTGGTTGTTGTGTCAAATTGCTTAGCAATTAAGATCCCGTTTGAATATTTCATGTTGAATGATCATCAGATAAGCTATACCTTAGTAGCACCAACTAAGTGTAGATTTATTAGTGTCCGTCTTTGATCAATGTAGGATTTGATTTTAGTTCAATAAATTCAGTCAAGGATTTTTTTTCTTCATTTCTATTACTTCTCATCACTTAGAAAAGCCTGCATAAAGTGCTCTGAATGTACATAGTTGGTATGATGTATGAATGTATTTAAGATTTAGCAAATATCACTCATTTTTAGCTATATGCAAGGTTTGTTAGCCATACGGTCTATAGCATGAAAAAAATGTGTACATTGTGGTCTTTCATGATGGAGATTGGACATATTTCTTGTTATTTCAGAAAGCGCTGGTAATTCCTTATCTTGATAAAAAGATGTATTAGTTGAATGTGTTTGAATGTGTTTTGACAAGTTTGTTGGTTCTTRATTGGTTGTAGAATGGTAAAAGAGAAGAAAGAAATGATGARAAGAAACAGAGAATTGAAGGGTGCTATAAGAAAGTGGTAGTCACTTCAATAATGGATGAGAATTTTAAAGAAAGCTTTGGACTAATGAAATTGGGCCAAACTTCAATTAAGAACTTGTTGAGCCACTCACAGTGCTTCAATGGTGTTGTAGGCTGGTGAAGTAAAATAAAAATTAGAATGTTTCAATGGTTCATTGAGCTCAAATCCAGACAGAAAATAAGAGCATATAGATGTTTGTAAAATGAGTTGCTTTCGGATAATCATATTAGGTATTTATGACATATTTGTGTATTGTATATTTGTATATTTGTATTTAATTACAGGATATTTATATTTTAGGATTTTATATTTTGGTTTTTTTGTTTTTTTTTCCTGTACCAGCTAAATTTCCGACGGATTTTTGGCGGAAAATCCGTCGGTAAATAAGTAGATTTAAGTTTTATTTAAAAAATTTCCGACGGATTTTCCGACGGATTTCCGACGRAAAAATCCGTCGGTAAATATTTTCCGTCAATTAAAAATAAAAATATTTTCATATTATAAATTAGGAAAAAAAATAAAATATTATTACCGACGGAATTTCCGTCGGAAATCCGTCGGAAAAAATGCTATTTTTTATTTTTAAATAAAAGCTGGTTAATATTTTTGAAGAAAATAAAAAAAGTTTACCRACGGATTTCCGACGGAAATTCCGTCGGTAAATCTAATCCCATTTTAAATTACTTCTAATTAACCCGGATAATTACTAACATATTATAAAATTTTCCGACGGATTTCCGGCGGACATATCCGTCGGAAAATACAAATCCGTCGGAAATTCCGTCGGAAAAGGCATTTAGCGGCGGGGGTTTTTCCGACGGCAAAATCAATCGGAAATCCGTCGGAAAGTTGTTTTTCCGACGGATTTCCGACGGATTTTGCCGTCGGAAAAACCCGATTTTTTAGTAGTGTGATTTTGACTCAATTAAGCACGGATTACAACCTGAGCAATTAAAATCAATTCTCTACTTTAACAAACCTATTAAGCCCCAAATGATATTCTGAAAGACCCCAAAACCACTCAGGAAAAAAATTCAAAAAACCCAAAACAGAGGAGAATGCGGGTTTAATGCTACCAAAGTCGCATTTTTCACTGAATGCGACTTCCAGGTCTACTTCTCCCCTGAACAACCCAAATCCAAACCAAAACCATTTCCAAACTTAAATCCTTGCAAAAACTCATATTTGAACACATAGGAAGCATTTCAACCATAAACTTATCAAATGTAAATCCTACTAAAGATTTACCATCATTGATTCTCTTCCATTTTGATCACCAATCCATAGATAAAATCCTTTTGAACCGAAAACTATTACTAACCAACATTTTGAGAAATCAATCCAATCTCATGACCCATCTTTTAAATGTATAAAACTTTCAAAGAAACCATAACTTGGGTTTAAATAAATTAACATACAAATTTCCATCTATTCGAATTATGAAAGATCACGTGATCACAAAGATGGAAATCAAAAGTTGATAAGAAAATCTTGAGTTCCCATCCAAACACTTTGAATAACCATTTGAAGATACTTCGAGTGGAATGAAAGCAAGATAGGAAAGTAATAGAGGTGATGAGTCATAACTCCGCCGATTACTTTCAAGATAAACCCTCAAAAATAACCACGTAATTAATACACAAACCTCTTAAAGTTTCAAACTTTATAAAATCAAATACCCCAAGGGTATTATAAAGTTGTTTCTTGATTTTTATGTATCTATACATGTTAAGCATATGTGCATACTGAACAAATTGTTTTATAAATTGTTTGTATGCACATGTACATACGGTCCAGATGAAAGGTTACTAGGGTGTTTCTTAGTTTTTCATTTTTTTACAGTTTTCCACTGAATCTGGCCCTCTATCTCTCTCTCTCTCTCTCTATATATATATATATATATATATTTGGGATCATGTGAGACAAGATTGTTTTCGTGAGATACGTGAGACATAATTTTTACACTTGAAACTTCACAGTAAAACACTGTGAAGGTAACCTTCATAGTGTTTTTGCTGTGAATGTTCAGTTTTTTTTAACTTCACCACATTTTGTTGTAAAATTTCAAGTGTAAAAATGTTGTTTCACGTGTCTCATGAAACAACTTTGTGTCACGGAAACCCAACCCTATATATATATATATATATATAGCGAGAGAGAGAGAGAGAGACTTGGGATCATGTGAGACTAAGGGTGCGTTTGGTTTGAGGGATTTGGAGGGATTTGGAGGGATTTGGATTTGAAATCCATTCCCTTCCCTTGTTTGGTTTGCTAAATGGGCTGGATTTTAAATCCAGTGTAGTTTTTAAAATCCCGTAAACAAGGGATTTTGAAATCCATTGTAAATGGGCTGGATTTTGAAATCCAAATYCGGGCTCCTCTTCCACGCTACTTCTTCTCGCACAAATTCCCCATTTGTCTTCCGTCTCCACCATCGTCGCCCACTGCTCTCGTCTCCCACCTCTCG